CTTGAGTCTCACAGAAGTTTGATAGAAATATTGAAGTTAATGGTTCCCTATTCAGATTTTCATGCAAAATTCAAACCTGACTCCATTTTGACATGCGATGAACTCCATTCTATTGATACAATTCGATTCAGGTGTCTACAGTGCAGCAAGACCAACTGAGCGTAGCCAGCAGTATGACCCCAGACGCCAGAAGTTTGTTTCTTCATTACTTTTGCCTTGGGGACGTTCATAATCGATCCCCATTAAGCTTCTCCTCATCCACAAACACGGGCATTCAAATTTGACCGGCTTCCCCACCATGGCCGGCCAATCTTTGACACTGTGAAGACCCTGGAGAAGATCAAACCGTACAGAGGCGATTTTCGGTATGTACCTGGTACGGTAATTCGCTCTTTAAAAGCTAGTGGCGGTTATTTACAGGTCTATACTCTTCTCGAAATTTCTACAAAATGAACGGTTGAGTAAAATCATTGAAGAAACTGCTCCAACGACGAAACGAATGGTGACCTGTGAGTGTCAGACGGATGACGATCCCAGGGCTGTCGTTGAACTCGAAGGTTATTCTCTATTCCCAGACAGAAATTCTTTCCTTCTTGGCTTCCCGCAGTCAGCTGGCTAATTAGTGCAAAAGATGTGCTAGTGAAGATTCAGAAAAGTTGTTTCTTGTTGAACGAACCCATGTTCAATTCTTCTCCATTTAGAAAGTCCGAATCATCTGTCAAGAACTAAATCTGAGTCACTATCCTTCGACAATGATTCCTTACTGTCGGCTGCTTTCTGTGATCTGCGGTTCGATTGCTCATCATCTGATTTGAAAACCATTTCACGTCAAGAATCCAGCTATTCTGTCTTGAAGGTTTGACAGTGCTTTCCATACCCGAGACTTTTTTGGGGTTTCGGTGTTACTATCGATGGACACTACGGTTTTTCTCAAAATTCTTGAATGATATATTGATTTATTGCAGATGGAAGACGATGAGCCGTTGTTGCCGAGAATGTTAGGTCAGCCATTGGGAATACCCAGAAGAACTTCACAAAAGGTTTGAGAACTCTTGCTTGTGTGCCTTTCTGAAGACTCCCATAGGAGTGGTTATATCATATACCTACAGTTGATTTGAGGTGGCACATAGCGGTAAATTGGCACTATCACACACCCACGGTCCCGGGCTCGATCCCGGCTCGACTTCAGGCTAGGTTAGCCAGGCCTTTCATTCTTCCGGAGGGGAGGATAAGAACTAGCTTGAACATCGGCTGGCCACTGCAGGGTCACTGTATAAGCTAGATACGCATTCAAACCGCTATTACGATTCTGAATGGAATTCGAATAAGGGGTGAATCCTAAAAAAGGGATTGATGACTGGCGAGGTTATACTCTTCAGATATACATCATGTGCGGTTACAAAATTCCAACAGCAATTACAAATGGTTAAATACAAAGAACATGCAGTCTGCTGTTTGGGGGAAGCTTGGTAGGGAGCGGTAGATGTGAAAGCGGAGCTGCGAAGTGAAACAACTAGCTGGGACCCGCCGGCCCCTCAAGCTAGGCGGGTACTAACTACATATGAATACTCATAAGTGTACCTGTGCACCTCATCGTGAAGTGGCAAAGTTTGTACTCGGACTTCCATCGCCGCTGGCATGTACTCGCCAGTGGTTCCGCGGCAATTACAGTAATCATCCACTGAACTTCCAAGGCGTCGATCCTTACACTGCGCGCTGCTGCATGGGGGAGTGTGACGAGAGCAGACCGCCATTCGGGTACAGGAACTCACCCGTCTGAGCATGTACCTCGACAAACACCCCTTGAAGAATCCTTCTTTGCTACTCTTCCGAATAACCGGCGCAATAATTTATCTTGAAGTGCCTACCTCTCATGAGCAACCCACACTTTTGCCAGCCCACACTTTCCAGTCACGTTATATTATTGAATTTATTGATGGAAACCAGCCTATTCGTCAATGTGTTGCACCATTTCAAAGGAAAAAGCTCTGTACATTCCTTCCCATTCTTCCGCCCATGGCATGATTGCCATCCATTCGGACTATAAGTAGAAGGCGTGGAACTGTAGAACAGCATGTGTCACATATTGTCGATAGTGACGTGAGCAAGTCGAATTACAGCAAAGCATTGCCCTGCTGTTTGTTTATTGTTTCGATGAGTGCGGTATTCCGAAGCTGGTTCTCGGATGTCCGAGCCTAATCTGAGACATTTTAGCTTGCACCAAAAAATCTCACATCAAATCGCTTGCCTCCCTCCATTGACAAATCGAACAAAAGACATCCGTCATGTTCAAGTTTGAGGTAAGTCTCAACGTTTATTAACTTCGTGGTAGGCGTGACATCGGTGATGTGGGCGGAGCAACCTGGGTATTACCTTGATGGCGTTGACCCGCCAACACAGTGTTACCCGCAATTCTAGGGAATGAATAAAGCTTTAATAAAAACTACTTTTCAGAGAGAAACCTGATCTTCTTCCTGCGCCAGATGAGACTCTCGAGCGAGTTCGTTCAGTTTGTGGTCTGATGCCTTCCGATTTTGATGATCACTCGATTTCAAGCCGGTATGATTGGAAATCGATAGATTCTAGGGCTTTAAGCCTAGTGTAGGACTTCCCTAGCAGGAAACTAAATAAATGCTAAACCTTTCTTGATGTAGATCAGTTCAGATCAGGTCAGGCTTACTGGAAAGCAGTGGGTACTCTGAGCTCAATGTAAGTTTGTATCTAAGTTGGGCGGAACATAGCGCTCTTATCATTGCCTGCTTTGACGTGCTTCCTTTGTTTTGCTTAGAAACTAACCTTACAGAAGTAGGATAGACTTTATCATGCACAGTTCGATATTGAAATTCCTACCGTAATCCTAAATCCTAAGAGTCATAAAATTACATTGTAAGTACTACTGTGCGAATTACGCGTGTAATCTCACGGGATTAAACGGTTAGCAGCTGTATGAAATAATCGTGGAATTACGGTAAGAGACTGTATCAGACCGCAAATTTTCGTCAAGGTTCAGTTCCAGGCGATGAGTAAATATGAACTCCTAGTACAAACACCGCCCACAAAAGAATCAATCAAGTAAATCAATTATTCAAACATGCTCCATCAAACGTTGACCTTCCTTTTCTTCCTGCGCCTGGAATGGGAGGCGGGGACGCACCTGCACAGAATGGAGCTTGTGAAGTAGGACTTTTTTAACCCTCTTCTCCCCAGATCCGGGCAGTCTCTCGTACTGGACTCATCTAAGTAGAACCCTTGCAAATTTTGGCCTACCCACCCAAAATGTGGATACTCCCATATATGGTTCATCTGTAAAGACCAGAAACGATTAAACTGGAAGCATTCGCTGACTATAAAGTGCT